ATTTTATTACCTACTTCATTCCTGTGAAATATCAATATCCTGTGTTGTTGATAATTACATTCAAATGTAAGTGTAATTAGTAGGTACATGCTCGGCCTAATTTACGTTTAATATAATGTTTTGTTACAAAGTTTTAATAAACACTTTTTATTATTTTTTTTTTTTTTTCACTTTCATTACCCTTAGAATGCGCGTTTATATGGTTAGGAGTATTTATAAATTATGAGATCAGTATGATAAGATCCTGTATAACGACAGCTTACAGTTTGAATAGGAATTTAAACTGTAAGATGTACATTAACGCCAACTAGTGAGCGTAAAAAACATTAGCCTTAGAGCCTTCATTATGTAAAAGAAGAAAATGTGTATCCAAACATACGAGCTATTTTTTAGCCTAGTAACTCTATGCATAAACAGGAAATCGTTTTGACATTACGGACATACATAACCTTTCAATCTTCCGCTAATGCATATTGGTATCGCAATTTTACCAATTTCTATTGTTTTAACAGAATAGTTCCTCTAATTTAACTTTTTTAAAGGTAGCATAAATTATCAAAATGGAAGGATTTGAGATAAGATTGACAAGCAGCAAGAAGGTAAGTGATTTTTAACATATTTAAGGTATTGTAATCGAAGTGTTTTTTTCAATGAATTGTTATTTTTACAGGGTAAAGGACTCTTTGCAACGCAGAAATTTGATCAGGGTGATGTTATTTTAGAAGAGGATCCCTTAGTGTCGTGTCAGTTTGCTTGGAATGCGGCCTACAGATATTTAGCATGTGACTACTGTATGAAGTATGTTTTGTCCGATATGTTTCTGTATTTCTATTTATTTTGTTTTTTAGTATATAGATTCAATTTAGGAGTGTTATTTGACACACGGTCTATAGTAAAAATTAAAGTGCGCTCGTAATTACTAATTTTACAACTGAAAAAAATATTGAGGAATGTCGCGTGATTTTATAAGAAACAAAATAATTTTGTCATAAAAATAAACTTGTATTAATTGTTAAGGTGCATGGAAATATCATGAAACCAGACATAGATTACTAGTTGCATTTATTTCTATTACATTATCAAAAGTTTTGCAATAAGGTAACATAAACATGCAATTACAAAACAATGTAATAATTTCTCAAACTAAACCAAAAAGCAATCCAAAATATTTGTACATAGTTCTATGTAGTTATTTTTGTAGAATTTAACTTTGTCGCTTTATAAATATATACAAATCTTATACCATTATATAAAGTGGAAGAGTTAGTTTTTTTGTTTGAACACACTAATCTCCGTAACTACAAGTCTGATTTGAATCATTCTTTTTGTGTTGGATAGCACATTTATCGAGGATGGTTATAGGCTGTAAAACATCACACAACCAATAGGAGCTGAGCAGAGCATGTGAAGTTGCTAGTCTTAAGCTATTTGTAAACATTAATATATCAGTATCTGTATCATATTCTCTACAATAATCAATATCTACCAATTTCAGGCCACTAGAAACTCCAGAACAGAATGTTAGGCGACTATCATGCAAACCAGACATAGTTCTGCCTCATTCTGATAGATTTGAACTGAACCTTGAAAGCATAACAAGCTGTGACCAATGTGGCGCCCTCTACTGTTCCGAGGGATGCAGACAGAAAGCTTATGTGATATATCATAGAATATTGTGTCACAATCCGAGTGATGCACAACATCCTATTGTTGTTCTCATGGAGACATGGAAGTAAGTGTGTCATTATATTATTATTACTTTTCCTGCTCCAGGTCCACAGGAAGAAATTCCAATAGGAATATGTGGTACCTTTGTACTTTAATTTTATGTATGTGTTGTCCTTTATATTGTATGTGTGTACATAAATAAATAAATAAATAAATAAATAAATAAGTATGAAGTTTTTTGGTCTTTTATAAATAAAAAAGTAGTCTAATCTACTATTTACTATTGATTACTTTGCTGAACATTTAATAGGTGATGATAAAAATGCCAACCTGCATTGAGTAGTCATGGTGATTAATGCTCAAATGATCTCCGTTTGAGAAGAGGCCTTTGGTTACTTTGGTCAGCTACTACTTATTATATATACTCAATACTTTATTTAAAACTGTTGTACAAATATTTTTAGTGAAATTACTTAAATATCTTTTATTCAAACACTTTAATATCATTAAATGTAAAACGTGTAATTAAAAGAAAAAGTTCACTTTCCTTAGTAACTAATTAAATAAAATTATAACACAAAAATCAAATACTTTCAGACAAATGCACTATCCACCAGAAACAACAAGTATAATGTTGCTTGTAAGAATACTGGCCTACATACAACAGAGTTCAGACCCATCTGCCGCTAGAGCGAAAGTGAAGCAGTTCTGTCACCGCACTGAGAACGAGGACGCTGAGTTAGTACACAAGTTGTTAGGAGAACAGTTCACACATCAGATGAATACATTGCGAGAGCTGACCTCTCATGTTGTTAGCGGAGATGAAGTTCAGGAGGTAAGATTTTGTTAAGCTTGAAGAGGTTCTGATCATTCCCCAGCCGGTCACCGGTTACCGCTCTCCACTAACTCCATTATAGACCTTATTTCCCATGTTTAGAGACTACTTTTGCATGAATAAATTTTGGTCATTTAATCAAGTGATTAAAGTTACTCACACATGATAACATCTAAAGTTATAAAAGTATACTCTTTTGTTTTTGGGATTATGTGTATAAGATTCTTAGGTCTTGTTACGGAGCCGCGGTGGACCTATCGGGTTGCCGGGCTCCGGTTCCAAGAGCAGAAGTAGGAACTGGGTGGTTTTTAGTCAGTAAGAGTCTGACATCCCGTCTCGCTTCATCCAAGCCGGGACAAGTCATTCAATGATTTACGCCTCTCCAAAAGAAATAAACTTTTGTTATAAGTTCTTCAGTGTTGCTTAAACTGTCAAACACCAAGCGGTCACCGGTGACCGCAACCTATTGTTCTATAATTGTGTCTATATTGACGGTACTCGACGAGTTAATTTGCAATATGTAAAAATAGACGGTTTATTGTTTTACTTAGGGTTCATCAGGTTTGTTTAATGGGGGAAATCATCGAATGACTGCTCCCGTCTGGGTGAGGCGTGAGCCTCACCCAGACGGGCCACCCCGTTCCTTCTCCTGCACGTCGAGCCGGAGCCCCGGTTACCCGTTAGGTTCTCCGCGACACTATTGCACCTCTAAATTTGAATTTGAATTTTGAACAAAATTAGAAACGATTATGCTTCTCCCGTTGCAGTTTTTAACACCAGAAGGATTTTGCACCCTAATGGCGTTGGTGGGCACAAATGGACAAGGCATTGGTACCAGTCCCCTAGCTATGTGGGTCAATTCTGTGTTGGAGGTAACAATGTCTGATGATGAGAGGCAACAACTGGATCTGTTCATTGATAAACTCTATCAATATGTGGAAGAAGGTAATCATTTAATAAAAATGTCGATATCTTCATGTACTATCATATTTGTAGAGTAGAAAGTTGACTAGTCTCTCTTAGATGCTTTACAAGCTGTCTGTTAATTATATTAGCGTAAGGGTAACACCCTGGCAAAAACATCTGATAATTTAAGAAACCACCGAACGCAACCACATAATTTGTTGGTTATTCTGCTATAGAACAACACACATCTCGCCATTTATTTCCTCGGAAATTGCTATGCCATTCCAGACTTCATACTACTGAAAATACTAAATTACGTTTTAACTTCGAATAATATTTAATTTTACATCATTACATTACAGAATCCGGCTCGTTCCTCAACACAGAAGGTTCCGGACTCTTCCAGTTACAAAGTTCATGCAACCACAGTTGTGCTCCTAATGCCGAGTCAACATTCCCCTATGGCAACCATAGAGTGCAGCTCAAAGCATTAAAACCTATAATGCCAGGTGAAGAGATCTGTATCAGTTATTTGGATGAGTGCACCCTGCAAAGATCACGACATTCACGGCAAAAGGTGAGATACCAAATACACGTTCTTTTTGTGAAAAAAAAAAAATCCGTCTTTACGCAGTTTCATAAGTTCCAAAAACCGAGAGCAGGCAGCGCATGCATGAGGGTGCAGGTTCTAACGGCAAGTACCAATGTGACTTTTTCCGAGTTATATCTTTGAATCGCGAGAAAACCTGGACTTGCAATTTCTAATTATAAGTTTGAAATCGCCAACCCGCATTGAGCAAGCGTGGTGATTAATGCTCAAACCTTCTCCCGATGAGAAGAGGCTTTGTTCAGCAGTGGTCACTTATAGGCTGTTGATGTATGTATGTACGATATCGAAACTACTTGCAGCTGTAGCTAAATGCCATTTAGCGCTTGTCTACATGTAGAATAGAAAACCAAATTATAGGGAATTGACGTAAATTTTGACACATGTCAGTGTCATCCCCATACATTTAGTTTTCTACTCTCTGTGTAGACAAGCGCTAAAGTGGCCTTTTGGCTTAAGGCACTGGCCTGCCAAGTTTGTAGATTATGACAAACCTTTCACAGGTTTTTTATAGTTAATGAGTTTCGGAGATTTTTACTTAACTTGATATTTATTAAATAAGTTAAAAAGTCATTCCATTCCTCAGGAACTGGCCCAGAACTACCTATTTGTGTGCTGGTGTGAGCGGTGCAGCTCTCAAGCGTCGGAGCCAGACTGCACCAGCGAGGAGGAGATGAGCGATGAAGACATCGATGCAGATGACTGATGTTCCAACCTACTGGCCTTTTGCTTGCTCGGCTTATGATGCAATAAGTGCAAAAGGTCCAGGAATTACCAAAACGGTAATAAGAATAACGAATCAAGGGTTTGGTTCGGGGCAATGGTAATATTTAGTCTTATATTCGTTGCTTTGTTCACTAAGAATGTTGTGTTTTTATATGTTGAGTTGATTCTGTAGTAATGGTCTAAGATGTATAGGAATGGATAAGTGTGAATATGTCTACACAGTAAATAATTAAGATTATTTTCCTCAACAATCTGACCAGGGCCTCTAGCCAAATGGCGCTTGTGTACCGTGACAGTAAAAAACTTTATGTATGAGGATGACATTGACAAGTGTCAAAATTTACGTCAATCCTATATAATTTAGTTTTCTACTCTACAAGTAGACAGGCGCTAAATAGTATGGCTAAAGACTCAGTTAAGTGTTCGGTTCTTGAATTCAAAATGTCTTTCCATGACACTCTTCCAGCTCCCTTGGATAAATAGTATCTAAAGTTTAGTTCAACGAGTGAATGGAAAAGGCAAAGTATAAGGTATACGTTAATTTTTCTGTTCGCTTGTTTGATTAATGTTTCAGTACAGAAGTCTATATAATTTAGTAATTACAAACATACAGATAAAATATACATGTTGGTATTAAAATATTTCTATTCTACTCATAAGTAGGTAAATAGATGTTACTAGTAGTATAATAATAATAATAATTATTGTTATTAGAAAATTATACTATTAAATGAATTGATACTTCCAATACAGTGTGATTCCTGTACATAGCTTTTGTTCTAGCACAATTTAGTACATTCTCAACTTTGGTGTATAAACTTTAACTCAAGATACTTTATCAGCTGTTTCATATTGAACTTTATTTCAAAGATATTAAGAGCGAGATTTTTAGAGCAATATATTTTATTATGACATTCCTTAACGGCACTAATCAGAGTATACTTATATATTAGTATGTATAGTATAAAGTATATAGTTATTATATATGTCACTATACGTAATTATATTAGCACTTTATGGTAATGCTATAATGATAACGAAGCTAATCAAGGAAATGTTTTGATGTCTGTTTGGCAAAATTAAACTTTGTGTCGCTGGTATATGGTTTAAAATTGGTGTAGCAAGTAGCTTATTGTATTTTATTCATGTGAATAAAGAATTGAAACTATATATTAGCTTCAAAAGAAATATAAAGATGTTGTTTAGTTTGAAATAAGTATTCTCCAACGAATATTGAATTATGAATAGGTATTGATGAATATTAAATGAATGATAAAGGGCCCAGATAGTGGCATTGGAGCAAGTAATCGAATTTTGTAACGTAAAGCCTCAGAGAGTCGGCCTAACATATAACTATAATTAATAATACTAAATAGTAGATATTTAATGTATTGTTCTCGTGTCAAATTATTGCAACGATGCACAATTTTTGTAGTAAATGTAGTATGAAAACACCTGGAAGGGAATAGAATGATGTTACTAGTTTAGAAATCGGTAGCTGTTTGAATTAAAAGTATTTCTAGCATGCATTGAGTTTCTATAGTTGGACGATAATGAGCTCTAAGTTTAATTGTTTTAAAGCATATTTCGCAAACACACAGGGCCAAACTTTTGGTGACTATGATGAACACAGTTGCACAATGAAATTTTCATTAACAGTTCAGCGCTTTCTCTACTTAAGATTGTTTTCTATGATCTCCACAATGGGGATGATGACAGGGTATGAAAATTAAAAATATAATTAGTCCGTAACTTAGGTAATAAAAAAATATTAGACACGTATTTTTTTATTTTGTTGTATAATAAAACAATACTTAGATAAAACGAATCAAAGTTTTGGAGTGGGGGCTAAAACGTCATTTCTTAGTATAAAATGTACTGAGAAGTGACGTCACGCGACATTTCAAATTAATATATCTTCGAAACTATTCGTTTCCGTAAGAAAATAAAAAATACGTGTCTAATGTTTTTAAATAATCTACCAGACGGACATTAAAATAAAAATTAGTCGTCTACCCCATTGCCAGGCGGGATGGAGACCATAGTTTATAAAGTTCTCTGTCAAATATAGAGATTGTGTGCAGTCTATATAAAAACGTAATAATATTAAAATGTGTGGCATTGTATTACGCCCAAAAGTTTGGTTCCTTGTACATTGTTAAGTAGCATGTTAAAGTTTTTAGCTTACTATTATATATTAACACCAAATTATTATACATAGCATAATTATTAATTATTGCTAAATAAAGTTGTTATAAGTATGTTATATGTGGCACTAAAACACTTAATCAACGTTACTTCTGACTTATAGTTGGGGCCATATATGAACTGTCGAAAGTAATTTTTGTCGGATCTCTCACTCACGTATGTGAGTTATGCGGCGTTGTCACATTTCTGACGTGTCAGCTGCCATGCCCATCTACAGGCCTAAATTTGACGAGGTAATTTTACTACTTTCAAGCCACACTAGAGGCTCAAGACCGATAAACTACGCTTATGTCTACGGCCTTGAGATAAATACATATGGTCATGTCTGTCTTACACGTATATTGGCAAAAATGAGCGTATCGAGCAAAGCACAGTCTGACAGACGCGCAGTATTCCTCATGAATTTGAGGGCTACCGTGGCTTGAAGTCGCATTACGTTATCAGACAGTTACGTGAGTAAAGGCTATATTATACCGGGACACCATTGCAGGGCATCCAGTCGCCGCGACCAACAAAATATATACAGCTCTATAGGGCGTTTCTCGCCTGGTGTCCATTTGGTTGCGCAACCATTCGGGTTGCTTACTCTTGAAACCAATCTCAATGTCAATGAAATTTCAATCCAAAATAAATCTCAATAAATATATAACCCCTATCGTAGCTGTTAAAATAGCATTCAGAGTAGGGAATATAAAGTCAAACTCAATACCATTTACTTCATTAAATATCTACGCAATACGGGTGCAATGGATTCTAGTGTTGCAACTCAAAAGTACAAAATTTCACATGACAATGTCGATAGATCGGAATTGGATTTAAGAGTAAGTCCCCTGGACGCCCAACGCGGATGGTATAACGCTGGTCGCACCACTACTTATTACTATAGCGCTTAATGGTGTCACTCACTTAGCTGAGGCCTTAGTACGAGTTTGTTTTACGTTTAAACTATTCGAAACGAGTACGCGTTCGGTACTCTGATTGGCCGGCTCCAATGAACCAACCAATCAGACCGCCGAATGCAGTCTCGTTTCGATTACTTTTAACGTAAAACAAACTGGTACTAAGGTCTCTGGTGGCGCCGCTATGGCGTCCCTATGAAATATAGTCCTAAGAGTCTCACTATCACTAGGGTTATAAGTATAATACAAGAAGTAACGTTTGTTGATCGCATTCTCATTATTATGCATTGCATTTTCTGGCAATCTTATTGTTATAGTGAATTGATCTAAATATATAGGTGTTATATTATCAGGGTACTAAATTGTGCCAAATAGTAATAAAGTAGAATGTTCTGGAATAGGTTTTAGAATAATTGTAATAATTGGCATTTGAATTTGAATTAATCTGTTCATTTTGTGACGATATTATTGTATGAAGTTTTTTTTATTGTGTTAAATAATGCTCGTTGTTAAGAATGTTGATTGATATTGAATAGGGTTTGTGTAAAGGTGCTCCCTCACCGGGATCATTCAAGTGTAATGTAACATTGGAGATTTGACTTTGAGCATTACATTACAATAATACCTCCCTGACTCACGAGCATTTGCGTGTAAAGTCGAATCTATGTTATATAGATTCGAACATGATATAGATTCGACTTTGAGTATTTCATCGCAAGATGTCAGACATTGATGTTATAAGTTGTATCAAGATATTACACATTGTATCATTACAAGGTGCGCATTGTAATGCTCGGTGCTCCTCCTTCACTGATGTAATGTTTAGATCTGTGACGTTACATTACACGCGAATGCTCCCGGTGAGGGAGCACCTTATGTTTTGATTGTATTTTTGTGACATGTTAAGTGCTGGACACCTAACGAAAACATGTTTAATTTTAAACTGTCAAACACCAAGCGGTCACCGGTGACCGCAACCTATTGTTCTATAATTGTGTCTACAAAACCGGTACTCGACGAGTTAAATTAACTAAAATGTTTTATTCTTAAATAAAACTTTCGCAAAAAAGTGTAGAAACATGAAGTAGTTGTATATTATGTATACGAATTGTTTTTTTAGACCCGTACTATTCTGGAATTCATACGTTTATGGAAACGATAAATGTGAATAAATAACAAAACAGTGTTTAAATATTTTTTGCAATTATGCGTAACTGTAGGGAATCATCAGAAAATGAACAGCTGTTTCTTAAATAACTAATTAAATACTAAGTTCACACATTACATTGTCTATTTCACGTTATTAAAAAAAAGGTATAATATAGATTGTTATAAATGAACAGCAAATTGAGCCATCTGAAACTATCAAATTTCACCTTATTGGCTTTGTAACAAAGTTCAAATTGGATAATTTGATAGTTTAGGGTAGCTTGGTACACAGTGAATAGAATATTTTTATTGCAATTTGAATTTTAAAATAAGAAAAATAATAAGAGTATATTGTTAGCACCGAATTTGTTTTGACAATCACAGAGTGTAATGAATGTTGCTTTTATAAAAAAGTGTTACTCAGCTTATATTTTTGAAATAAACCCCTTTGACCATACCAATTGAATTGTTTTTTTGTTTATTTTACTTTAATTTATTTTCATAGGTACCTATACCTATAAGTATTTGTGAATTCACTGCTGAATCTTTGCATCGTTTTGGAATCGAACCTGTGACATGTTGCGCAACAGCTTGTGATCCAATCGATATTTAGCAATCAAAGGTTATAACAAATCAATATACGTCCCAGAAAATAAAAAAAAAATACCTAAAAAAGAAGGTAAACGAAAACACGATTGACGGAGCGAACAAAATTAGACCTATTGGGTAAACTCTTTGGTACTAATTTGCGTAAATCAATTAATTGAGACAAGATACCTATAAATGTACGTCGACATTAATAAACATCATATTCATGTCTTGATTAATTAATCGGTCGAGAGCAATCTTTAATTACCCGATAGTACTTCAGTTCTCGATGATACTTACTTGGGGCTCGTTCACAAAACTGCAATGCGATGCGATGCGAATCCGCAACGCAGAAAATTACGATGCGAATTGTTGCGATGCGATTTCGTGCGATAAGGCGTCTCCCAGGGTGACCATTCCTTCGACGACCGTCAACCGTACTAAACGTATTTTAAATTGAACACTAGGTCGTGACATGGATTGTAAAAAGAAGTGTGCACTTCTGTTATTGCTTAGGAGCTACAGGAAAAAGAAACAGAAGATTTTGGGAAGATAAGATTTTCGTGCCCGATGCGAATCAATTCGCAAGTTCTTGCGATGCGACGTCGCATCGTAGTTTTGTGTACGAGCCCTTGAACCGCTTGAACGGTAAAGTACCTACATATCGAGCTATACAAAATCAGCTTTCCGTGGTATCTCTTTCTATGACCTCTCCGTACATACAATGGTCAGTTTATACTGGTTTTGCATAGCTTGATTTGTAGCTGTGGGTACTACGCTTAATTATTGAAAGGAGACTGGTACGTTTGTTGTGGGTTTGTAAATTGAATGAGTTATTCTATTCCAAGTTGGATAAGGACTGTTTGTGATTAATGGAGGATACGATAGTTTCCAGTTCTAGAGTTATGGAGTTAGAGGTACGATATCGAAGTAATTAATTTCAGGTCTTGTGAAAATAGGTACCTACTTACATAGATTTTGTATTCTTTTTAAACCACATACAAAATTGAAATTTGAATATATCGTATTACAATAATGCCTATAACAAAGGCCACAGACACGCTATTTGAAAGAATAAAATTTTACAACTGAATAAGTGCTCCCCTCCAACGTTTACGCAGCGCAATTACAACAAAATGTCCGGACACCACCGCTGTTTTACGATGTTGAATATTGAAATGGCAATACATAAAAAATAGCCGTGAACACAAGCATAGAAGACAAAGTCTCCCCGGGAGAGCATAGTGCAGCCTAAGCCCGGCTCAGTGCAAACATTCATTCGTGCCCACCCCACTTCAAACGACGTCTATCCTTAAAAGGGAGGAGAAAATTATCTCGTGAATAAATTATATTTTCCCCCCTTTATGAAGACAGTTGAAGTGCATTTTCGTTCATGTTTTTTTTTCTCGTCTGACTTAGATCAAAGACATTGCAGGAATTCCGGCCGTGAGCCCGTGACCCCGCAAAAATAAAATGAATAAAGAATTTAATGTGACTTGATGTCTTGGGATAATAACGTTAAAGTGCTTTAGAATGTTTCCCGAGCGAATTGTTTGTTTTTCCAATTGTATTTGCCCGTCAAATTCTGACCTTTGGTGTTGTTTAGCATGTAGAGGTGTTGTCGCTCGTCGCAGGGAGGGTGGAACGTGGTACGTGGGACGTGATGCTTGTTTTGTTATGAATAATACGTCAATGAAATATTACGAGTGATCTTTTATGTTGAGGTAAATGTTATACTTCCTAGTGTATTACTGAAAATTGAAAAAGGACTGGTTCTAGGAGTTTTCTTCTGGTGATAAAGAAAGGGAATGTAGGTTTACGAATCGAATACTAACTTTAATATTCGATTCGTAATCTAACGATTAAAATTGAAATGTGATGAAATTTTTTGACGGTTCATTGCGTTGACCGCTTTCATCT